TCCCTAAGAAAGAAGATTTGGGAGATATTTTGGAAGGCCGTGTGATGGCGAGGGGAGCTTTGAGACAATGAAGAATGTCCTTTCCTCAAACCACACGAAGAAGTTGGATCCATCTATGCCAACAATAGACTCGTATCATCACCCTTCACACACACACCAAATATACAGTTGACAAAGGTGTGTTTTGCATATGACCTTCTTGCCATCCTTAAAATAACCCTTTAAGTAAGCAAGTGAGATTCCTTATTCCCACTTCACAAAAGAAGAAACAGTCTCAGATGGCTAGATGACTCTGTCCGAGGACACTTGGCCAGGATGACAGAGCAGGCGATGATATCTATCTCTTCTGAGTCCTCTCAGAAGGTCTCTACTCACTATCCTGTAATATATTTTCATTTCCATGTTGTCCCTCTGACAGTGTGAAGTATGGAGATAAGAAACTATATATTAACAAAGGGGCACAGCTATGAAAAAGTAGTCTATTGTGAGTGGGGTCATCTTTTTATCCAAAATAGAGCAAATTTATTATAAACTCAAATGCTGATACTACTGTTTAAAAAAGGGGAAGAATTAAAAAAAATTTAATGTTTGTTTTTGAGAAAGAGAGAGACATAGTGCAAACAGGGGAAGAGCAGAGAGAGAGGGAGACGCAGCATCTGAAGCAGGCTCCAAGCTCTGAGCTGTCAGCATAGAGCCTGATGTGGGGCTCGAACTCATGAACCATGAGATCCTAAGCCAAAGTCAGATGCTCAACTGACTGAGCCACTCAGGCGCCCCCAAAGGGGGTGAATTTTATGCTTCAAAATTTCTGATACTTTGTCCCAGTCTTAGTCTCCCCACCAACTCTCTGTTCTTTCTGCCAATCTTCTTTCCATTGTTGAATCTTTCTTTCCTCCCTCCATCCTTCACTCCTATTCTCCTTCCCTCCTTCTCCCACTCTTTCCTTTTTTCTCTCTCTCCTTCCTTCAGTTCTTCCTTTCTCATTTAATTGTTAGAATAAGTGGAGTAAAGGGTAGAAATATTTTCTTGGTTGAATGTTCTTTCATTTCCTCCTTTATAGAATGATCCCAATCACTTGCGTTTATCCATAGAAACTCATCCTCCAACTGGTAAGTTAACTGTCTCCATCATCATCATCATCATCATCATCATCATCACTTCAATTTTATTAAACACTTACTATATGGCATGCAGTGTGATGATGGCTTCACATTTATTGTGATTCAAATCTCGAAACACAGAATGAGGTATTACACCCATTTTACAGACAAGAAAACTAAGTCTGAGTAATTTGTCTAAGCTCATATAGCTAGTAAATGTAGAGCTAGGTTATAAATTCATGGATGATTTCAAACCTTGTTTTAACCACTCTATCAGGTCTTGAAATGACATACATATATGTGTGTCCCTGTCCTCGGCAGATATTGCTAATCATTCATGATAGCTTTACTACTGAGCCCAGAGCTGTTCTTAACCCAGCCCTTCAGGCTACTGCTAGCACTTATTTAGAACTGGCATGGAGATAAAACTATTCTCATCATTATGTTGCTTTAGCTCACCAAAAGAGTTCCGATTTGCAGGGCTAGAGATCTCATGATTTTGTTTGGGGTTTATTTTCTTGTTTTATAAAGTTGTCACAGTCCTTGTATTTCCAGAACAGACCCCCTGACTGCTCCCAACATGCTCTCCTTCATTTTCAGACTTAACTGCACCCCTTTCTATTTTGAAGGTCCGGGAGGCTTCCAGGAGTCATCCCGTTTCTCCAGCTGTAAGCAGAACACTTAGGATCCATGGCCCAACACCCCAAGCTACTTGGTATCCATCCACAGCCAAGGCGACATAACTACCTTCGTAAGAAGAGGCCAGTGCCTGCTGTTCTTGATGCTGTCCCCAACAATGCTAAGTAACGAAGTAGCAGATTTGAGCTATTGGATCATTAAAGACAAGAAGATGGTCAAATATATATGACTGGTTTCAAGGAGGTGGCTTAGCCCATCACACACAAGTGAGATGTTTTGCGCCGGACCACATCTAAATGAACAGCTTCACCCTTTTTCCTATTTTTTACTTCCATGAAGTGTCTCAGGAATTAGCAATTATTTCCTCCGCATCTTAGTATCTCAAGGCCCTGAGGGGATAGGGAAGAGGGAGGGTGAGTGAAACCCAGTGAGAATGGTACCAGGAAGCTTGCTCGGGAAGTGTTGTTCAGACTGGGATTGGAATCGGCAGGGCAGAGGGTGGTGGGGCCACAGCAGCAGGGATGTGGTCGGTGACTTGCGTCTTTGGAAGCCAATCCTCACCCCTCCCTGCTGAGGAGCTCCATCCACTGTCCACTCTCCACCTTTCATCTGCGGGTCTCCCTCAGAGGTCCAAGCGCTAGCTGGGGCTCCCGTCACCGGGTCTCAGGCCAGCTGTGCCACATACTTGCTGTGGGACCTTCAACAAGGGTTGGAAGCCTTCTGATTCTCGGAAGCCTTCTTGCTAGAAGGGTTGACTCTCCAGCCTCTTTGGAAATCAGAATCACCCAGAGAACTTTTATAAACACAGGTGCCCATAGCACAGCCTCTGCATATTGGATGCAGAGGATGTGGGAAGGAACTCGGGGAGGCATCAGTATTTTTACAAAGGTCCTCGGGAGAGTCAAAGCCACCTGACTGGGCAACCTTAAGGTCCCGTGTGGCTCTGAGCAAATTCATGCGTCTGAGTCCCAAACAGATCGCAGGGTTAATCAGCGAGCTTGCTCGGGTGGATGCAGCTTTAAACACACATGCTTCTTAGGGGCCCGTTAGGTGCTCAAGGTTTGGTTGGAAAGCTCAGAGCCGCCAGTCCCTAGCAAAGAGCAGAGCATGGGACGCCCTCATCCTTGGTGAGAGTTTGCGATGTTTATGTAGCTGTCAGCATCAAGTGGGTGCTCAAAGTATTAGAAAGTCAGTGAAAGGGAGCTGGTAATTAGCTGAACCACTGCGCTCTAGAGGTCATTTCACCCCCTCCGTGACAGCCGGGCTTCCTCTCCGCTGCGCAGCGAAGCCTTGTGCGGCCTGAGCTTTTTCCTCCCCACCAGCTCCAACAACAAAAAGGAACTTCTCAAGGAAACTCTACAGTGGAATTCAAAAGGAACAATAGACTCGGGTTTGATTTGTTTAATTCTGAAATCAAGGTCACTCATGAGTAGCACAGCTCTTATTTGTGTGGTTTGGATGGGTTTTGTTTTTTGGTTTTTGGGGTTTTTGTTTTTTGTTTTTTGTTTTTTTTTTTTTAACAACATCTTTCTTTTCATTTGATGGTCCTGTCATCTCCAGGACTGTGTATGTTCCGGATCCTGCCTGTATTCAAAGCTGTTATTAAGTGGAGTCTTTTAGATTTTAGAGAAATGATAATGGTTCCAAAGATGACAGAAAGTGGCAGCTGGTGACAAAAAAACCCCTTGATAAGACGACAACAGTAAATCAAACTACCGCCACTTTTTCGTTTCATGTTTGTTAATACCACCTCGCCTTTTGAAGTTTAAAGCAAGGTTCAAAAAAGCCAGGTGCTGAATCATAATATTAAAGCAAGTAAGGAGCTCCATGAAAGCGAGGAGATCTGAGTGGGGGAAGCAACAAACACAGCTTTCAACTGCCTTTTGTCGGCCTTTCCGCAGATGTCACCAGTGGTTATCCCAGCAGAGGGTTCGGCTTGTAGCAGCGCCTCTGGCTGATTCCCGCTCTGCGTTTCAAGTGTCAATCAAAAAGGAAGGACGCAGCTTAGGTCCTGGTCATTGTCCTGTGAAAAGAGCCAAGCATTTAACATTGATTTAGCTCCCTCAATATACAAAGATAGAGCCAGCTTTGTGCATCGAAAAGGGCCTTTGGCAAGGTTACTTGTAGAGCAATTCCATCGCATCCGACGCGCCTTGGGTTCGCTGTCACACCGCGGTGTCTGGAGCCCTCTGAAAAGTTATTCAGGACTCAGTGAGCAAATTAAAAAGAAATAACACATTCCCTGCAAGAGCGGTGCGGTTTCGTGGAAAAGGCCTGTTAGCGTCTCGCGGTCTTGAGAACAGTTTAAATAATAACAAGAAACATCCAGCACTTTGGAAATAAGCTAAAGCATGCAAGAAAGGAAGCCGGAGGAGCCCCAAGAACCCTAGAGGGTGGGGTGGGGGGCACTCCGGTGAAGGAGGGCAGCTTGGTTTACAACATGTTGTTCCTCCAACTTCATTCCACTTTGTTTGTAGCCTGTGTGGCCTCCCGGGCTGAAAGTTCACACAGGTTCCTAGTATGCCTTGCCTTTGTGTTTCCATTTCCTGTGAGTAGACTCGAGTTTGGCCAAGTTGGGCACAGGGAGGGGAGACGTGATTACAGCAACGTGTGAGATTTACCGAACGATCTTGTGGCTTCTGTTGCTCTTCTTTTCTTTTCTTTTTTTATTTTATCTTCAACACTTAGTTAATCAAGCATTTTTCTGAAGTATAGTTGACACACAGTGTGCTACATCAGTTTCAGGTGTACAACACAGTGATCTGCCAAGTCTATACGTGAGGCTATGTTCACCCCACGTGTGCCTACCATTAGTCACCGTGTAGCACTGGTACAATACCCTTGACCATATTCCCTGTAATCTACATTTTCGTGCACAGGAGGCAATTACAGAATTATAGCTTGACTTGTGTTTTTACTTTTCAACTGCTTGGTCTGTGTCCGTGTGGAACGGTCAGCCCCGGGTATTGTTACAGTTCTCATTTTGCAAGTGTTTTTCTCCTGATCACTTAAGAGTCAAGCTCCCCGAAATTTACTAAGTGCAAGTCTTGGGATACTTGGTGGTTGATCCGGTTCAACACACGTGATGGATGCTTCCTGAATGTCTATGTGCCCTCCATCACTTCCCAGCTTTCTTTGCAGTTGGTTTGGAGAACTGAGATGAGTTTGAGCTCATGGGAATGTGAACAAAGGGTTGTATCACTTCTGCTTTGAGATACTAATAATCGGTATGTCTCGTCTATCCTTTCTGCCCCGTGAAAGACTGTGCGTTGAGATGGCAAAAGCCCCAAAATAGAAGCAACTGCTACCCCTAAGTAAGGGCAAGCTAACTGCGACAGTCATCCATGCTCAGTGGATTTTGCATGAGCAAGAAGAGGTAAGCCTTTTGGGGGGGGGGGGTTAAACTACTGAAGTAGAGTCTCACTGGCCGTGTCTGATACACCCTGTGTAACTAGAAGTATCCTGATCAGGCACTCATTGAAAAGGATGGTTCTGAAATTTTGGCTTGGCATAGAGCTTTTCCCAGCAGCTGATCTAACCTGTGCAAATATAGTGAGATGATAAATGGAAACACAACGATGCAAAAATGGTTCGTGTTTCATTTAGCCAAAGTTCTGGGCCTTCAAACAATGAGTAGTCTGTCATACTGGGCGGGGGGCGGGGGGGTCACCTCTTCCTTTATGCCCACCCATATCCTCAATTCCTTTGCCAAATTGTCCTTTTGATGCATCTTCCTGTCAACATCTTGACTCAGAATAAACCACACTATCTGCCTTTTTCACTCTTGAACCCAGTGTGACTTACAGGAGACAAATCAAGGTCGCTGATGAGTGCCACTGCTGACTTTGGGTCTCCGGTCTCAGCTGCCCCTCAATGCCAATTGACAGTTCCATCACATGTCCTTAGTTTCTTCTTCCATCCTCTTAGCAGATGATATTACTCTCAACTTCACAGCAAAACAACAAAGGTAATTGACATGGTTTCCCTAAAATTTCCATCCATACTTCATGAGCTTTTCTGTGTCTCCCTCCACTATTTCCAAGGATTCGTCCTTTCATCCAAGGATGAGCCACACACCTGTCCTCTGGAACTCATCTCCCAGGACTTTGCTCTATTAATTATCTTTTTCATTCCTGGGATTTCCAATTTCAATGGCTCCACCTTCCTAGCATAGAAACCAAGCCTGCTCTCTAGGCTTCTAGATAGAATGGTCTTCACTGACATTCTCCTTTTTCTCATTCCCCAGCTATTACTTGATCCATGACAATCTCTATTTATCCGCGCTTCTCTATTTAAATCAACAGCCTCCATGTTACCGCATAGGAATATTAGATCATTGTCTGGCCTACACCTCTCTGTTCCATGTATACCTTTCACGCATTGCCTTCCTATTGCGTTCTCCAATCTTTGTTTCCATCAGCTTGTTTCTCCCAGCTTGCCATCCTCTGCTCTGGCCTCTCTTTCCAGATTTCTTTTGCTAGATTCCTGTCCCTTTGACCACCATCCCTCCCCTGAATGCCATCTCTTGAGCTCTAACTGTGGCCCCTTTTCTTTTCTAATTCATGGTTTTTGAGACAGCCTTTGTGGTGCCGGCTAGAATCTGAGAAAGGACTGAGTTAAAGAAATCAAAATAGGGGCGTCTGGGTGGCTTAGTTGGTTAAGCATCCAAATTCAGCTCAGGTCATGATCTCATGTTTCCTGGGTTCAAGCCCCACGTTGGGTTCTGTGCTGACAGCTTGGAGCCTGGAGCCTGCTTCAGATTCTGTGTCTCCCTCTCTCTCTCTGCCCCTCCCCTGCTCTCTCTCTCTCAAAAATAAATAAACACAAAAATTTTTAAAGCTCAGAATAATCTATTTATTAGCAGAGGGGTCTTCTTGGCCCAGATTATGACTCTGTACTAGACTAATTTCCCCAGTATGATTAGGCTGTAGTTTTGCAAGTAGGTATGACTTAGATTTGCACCAACAACTGGTTCTCCACCAATTTTTATGGCGCTAGGCCCCTGCGCAGAGCTTCTATAAATACGTTCCTTAGATTTGTTGTTGTTGTTTTTTAAATATTTTTAATGTTTATTTATTTTTTGAGAGAGAGAGAGGGAGAGAGAGACAGAGCATGAGCGGGGCAGGTGCAGAGAGAGAGGGAGACACTGAATCCGAAGCCAGCTCCAGGCCCTGAGACGTCAGCCTAGAGCTTGACGTGGGGCTCACACTCACAAACTGTGAGATCATGACCTGAGCCAAAGTCAGACACTTAACAGACTGAGCCACCCAGGGGCCCCATGAAGTTCCTTAGATTTGTGACACCCTTTGTGCTATCTAGTGGCTACAGGGGACAGTGTGTCGCCTGGTTGCTGCCTCTTGCCCCAATACCTCTGAAAATGCACTTATTCACCTGTGAACTTCTGGGGATCAAGCTCAAAGCAATTCTATGAGAGAGAAAACTGTACTTTCATTTGCTCTGGTCCAGAGATGCCTCTCTAAAGACTGTCTTGCTTGACTCTTCTTTCTTTCTGCTTTCCATCTTACCAACGGGAAAAGTCTTTGCCGCCATTTATTATTTGTTTGTTTATAGCAGGCTCCTCATCAACACTGAGGAGATCACGACCTGAGATCGAGAGTCTCATGCTCTACTGGCTGAGCCAGCCAGGCACTCCAAAATTCTTGACTGCTTTTTAATGCTCACTAGCACTAGTTAGTGATTTTACATGTGAATCTTTTGCTTCAATTGGACTTTAAACTCCTTGCTTCAGAGAGCATGTTTTCTGTTCCTCATCGTCTTACACCCCATTCCTAGACACCCTCATGAGCATATTCCCACACTTACACTGACCAAGACCTCATACTAAGGACCTAGGGACACTCTCCTCTTCAACCTTTTCCTTCTGACCGTAGACACAAAACACTTCTTTACTGCAAAGATGACCTGATTCCTTTATCCTTGAAAAAAGAAACGTTGGTTCTTTCAGAAGCAGAACTTCTCCGGGCATGCCCGGGTGTGGCAATTAGCTTAACCCCTTTGACTGAAGCTGTTAGTCTGCTTCACCGAGTCATCAACTTGAAGTGGTTGATTCTGTTGGGTTACCCGCAGATACACACTGGTTTTGCGACTTCCGCCCAGCTCCTTGGCCATCATGGGAGTCTTACACTGCGATTCATTTTCAAGCATTTACTAAGTTGTGAAACCACCAAGCACGGACACTGCTTGGCTTTCTCATTCTCGCCCTCCCTCAGTCTGCTTTTGTCCGAGCAGTGCTCTGTGGATCTCAGTTGCTGGGGCTGCTCACTGCGTCTCTAGCATGTGTGAGTTTTGTGCCCCTTTGACTCATGGGCAGCCAGGAAATTTGTGTTTACCTCCTGTCACCCAAACAGCCAAAGCAAAGTGAAAAGGAAAAAGAGAAACGAAAATTAAAAAAAAAAAATAAGATCACATAGTTAGAGTCCTGTAAATTACAAACAACAACAACAACAAACCTTCTAGCATTCTGACTGAATCCAATCTTTGGTGTCCTCCAAAAGGACACTGTGCGTGGGGGTGGAGGAGTGGAGAGTGAAGGAGAGAGGAGAAAGCTGCGTTTCAGCACAAGCCTGTGTCCAATCGTACTAAGACCTGCCTTTGCTGTTATTTGATTTATTGCAGTTCATCAGAGCAGTCAAAACGGGTATGAAATTCTGCATTCCACCTGGTCTGAAATAGACTAGCTACCAGGGATGTGGGCAGATCAAATGCTTTCATTCTGGTTCCATTTGGCCTTTGCTGTATCAACAGCAGACACAGTATGTTACTGAGGTAGTTCTCTTCATAATTCGTGGATGGCTTCTTCTACATCCCACCTCTCAGAATCAGCTAAAAATGAAGGCCCTGAGGCTTCCCTGGCCTGTCACGGAGGCAGCAGTGCAATGGGACTGTGAGTTCGGACGGCCTGGGGGGGGGAAACCTGACTCTGGCACCCACTAGCTGAGTGAGTGGAGCTATAGAAAGATGGCAGTAATGATAGTGCCTGCCTCAGGCGCTGCTGGGGGAGGGGGGGCGGGTAAGTGAGATAATGCACAGAAAGTTCTTGAAACCATACCTGGCACCCACCGAGTGGTCATTTGATACAGCTGTGACCATTATCTACAGGGGCTTATAGTAAAAATACTCAATTCTCAATAGACAGCTATTTGATTTGGGAGATTCAACAGGGCAATTAGTGTATGATAAAAAAATGTAAAGTAGGTTTGCTATACGAAATATGGGAGAAGGTCAGAGAAAAAAAGTTAAATGATTGGGGCACCTGGGAGGCTCAGTTGGTTAAGCATCTGACTCTTGATTTCCACTCAGGTCACGATCTCATGGTTTGCGAGATGGAGCCCCACTTCAGGCTCTACACTTACAGCGAGGAACCTACTTGGGGTTTTCTCTCCCCTTCTATCTACCCCACCCCCGCTTGCTCTCTTTCTCTCTCTCTCTCTCAAAATAAATAAGCAAACATTAAAAAAGCTAAATGAGGGGCGCCTGGGTGGCTTAGTCGGTTAAGCGTCCGACTTTCGCTTAGGTCATGATCTCGCGGTTCATGGGTTCAAGCCCCACGACGGGCTCAGTGCTGACTACCAGCTCAGAGCCTGGAGCCTGTTTAGGTCTGTGACTCCCTCTCTCTCTGGCCCTCCCCTGCTCACGTTGTCTCTCTCTCTCCTAGAAATAAATAAAACATTAAAAAAATTTTAAAAAGCTAAATGATTAAATTCACTTATAATCTTATTGCCCAGGGATAACTTGGGTTAATATTTGGGTTAATAATAATATATACATGTTATATTTATATAAACTATGTAAAATATTTATGTTTACATTTATAAATGCTCTTATTGTGTGCATGCACACAAACACATACATATGTACTTTCCCTCACAGGGACTATACAAGATGTATGATTGATTAGGACCTGCCCTCATCATGTAAGGAAAGAAGGTGCCCTGTGAAAACTGTCGGGTCCCCTTGGCTCATTTTCTCAACTCCCTTCTCTCAGGTCTCTGCTTAGATGGTCCCTGCTCATAGGTCTTCTCTGGCTATCCTAAATAAAACAGCAACCCCCAGAACTTTCTATCCCCTGGCCCTGCTTTATTTTATAAGGCATTTCTGTGATTTGTCAGCGAGGGTGTTAGCTTCAGCCACCTTCCTCTCCCGGTACCACTCTGGGCTGTGGTCCTTGCTTCCCATGTATTTGTGGGAGGAAGGCATAGGTTCCCCCAACTCCTTCCTCCCCTGCTCACGCTTTCCTTGTCACTTTGGGACAGGCTTCCTTAGTCTTCAACTAGTGTGCTCTGAGGAGATGCAAACTAATGTTCACTGTTTCCCAAACAAAGAGTCAGAGAGAAGGTAACCCACCAGCAAATACACACATTGAATTGTTCACAGTTAAGAACGACTGGTTCTTTAGCGCCCGCCATTTTGGAGTTCATTGTACAAGGTATATGAGCTCTGTCATCCATTAAAGGGTAAACCTTTGGTTTACTTCGGTTCCACCAGAGATTTGTGTCTCCCTTCCCTCTGGTTTTCTGTTCTGCTGCCTGCTCTAATAGTAGAGCGCCAGTCCTTAGGGGCCAGGCTCAGGGAGCTCTCTCTGGGTCTTTCTCCAGCATCTAGTATGCAGCCTTGTTTCTGGAAAGAGGTGAGCAGAAGGGTGTATGGATGAGGGAACCATGTCAGCTCTTCCCTTTTTATTCTGAAATCACGCTTAATCAGTACTCAGCACCAAAGAGGACTGGAAATGGATGGAAAGTTAACATTTGGGGGTCAGGATTTAATACTCTGACAAGTGACATCTGTCTTACCTCTAACTGGGAATCCTCCTCTCTCCAAGTAGAAACTGATTGACCACAGCCAAGGTTATAAAATATTAATAATGGTTTTAACTCAGATAACTTGCTGAAATAACAATGAATTTTTCTGGAAGATGAGATCTTGACATCACGTCCTCAGGGCACAGCAGCGGGTAGGGGGAGTGGTGTTTCAAAAGCCAAGATGTGTGTGTCTGGAAGAAGAGCATGCAAGTAGAGAAAATAGAGTGTGAGAGAAAAGAGAGGGAAAAGGGGTGAGCAGCTCCTCAGAAGGTCTCACCCAAGAGGAGGCCTCGGGGAGTCATCCATGGAAGGGTGGTGCGATGGTTGACTTTATGTGAACTTGGCTAAGTTATGGTGCCCCATTTTTTTTAATCAAATGTCAATACAGGTGTTGCTGTGAAGGTCTTTTTAAAATGTGGTTGACATCTACCATCAGCTGACTTTAAGTAAAAGAAATTACCTTCAATAATGTGAGTGGGCCATACCTAATCAGTCGAAGGCTTTAAGAAGCATAACTGAGATTTTTCTAGGGAGAAGAAATTCTACCTCATGTCTGCAGCATCAACCCCTGCCTGAGTCACCAGCCTTCTAGCCCGCCTTATGGGTTTTGCACTTGCCATCTCCCTCAATCACATGAGCCAAATCCTTAAAATAAATGCTGTTATTTTGTTTCTCTGGAGACCCGGGACTCATAAAGTTGGGAGGCAAGTGCTACTCATAAGAGGGAGTGTTCTGTGAGGACTGCCAAGGAAAAAGGGGGAAGGAATTCAAAGCCATTCCTGTCACTGCTGTCAGGAAAGGATACACCAAGTGAGAGAGAGTAACTGACACATGAAATGGGTCTGAAGCATAATGTCAGTAAAGAACAGCGCATGTGCCTCGGGACCAAGGTGGCTGACAGAAATCACTTAGACTTGAGTGGGTGTCAGGACGGAGGTCATGGTTACTAGCATGTGCTTTACACTTCCCACAGCTGTCCCCACATTTCCTCGTTTGGTTCCTATACCAACCTACAAGTCGGCAAGGGCAAGGATTAATATGCCCATTTCACAGATCAGAAAATAAAGAGCCACTGGGACTCCCCAGGGTGGGGACTCCTGGGCGCTTCTGAGAAGATTTATCTTGAAGAGATGGAATGGTGCCTCAAACCTGAGGTGGGTCAGGAGGCTCCTGGACCCCTCCTGCATCCACCTCGGACCCAGCGGGCCAATAAGGGACGTCTGGAACGTTAGAAATTACCTACCTGCGAATGGTCTTGAAGAGAGTTCCTGTTGCCTAGAAGACATTTCACAGGAGAACTGAAGCGGAAAGGCTTTGGAGGACAGGCTTTTCAAGGGGACGTTGAGTGGTGGCAACAAAAGTTACCCATCGGCAAAAACAGCTGGGGAACCATCTGTCTGGGAGAAGCCTCGGGCCGTTTCATTACCCCTCTCCCTGCGTTTGTGAGAGGCCCGGCCGCCGATGGGAGGTGGTTTATAGCAGAGGGAACAGAAGGAAACCAGTTGGCCCTTGTATAACCTTGGCCTCATTAGCATCAAACCAAAGCCCACTGAGCTATTGACTTCTACTAAATATCCACCCATCAAGAAGATGTCCCCGAGCCCTGCCTCAGGGGTGTTCAGACAGACAGGGCCATCTTGCTCCTCCTCCGTCCCTGGCTTTGTGATCCAGGAGTGGCTCCTCCCCACCCACAAAGATCCACGCTCAGCACCCACTCCATCTTCCCGGGGAGAAAAGTTGGGGGGCGGGGGAGGAAGGAATCCTCCGCGGCCCCCTCTCGGAAAGTCTCCCTTCACTAGCTCCAAAGGGCCAAACAAATAAACCCTGGAAAGGTGGTTCAGCAAGTGAAGTGTACACAATTATATTTTCAACTGCTTTGCAAACTTTTATTCCCGTACAGCAAATGACACATTATCTTCCAGAGGTCAGGGAATAATGCAGGCAGATTCTTGCAACATTGTGAGAGTTAATGTTTCTATTTGCCATTGTGTCCTGTGCAAAGAAAGGCGGCCGGTCACCTAGGGTTACCACAACACAGCATGAAGATGGTCGAATCCACAAGAAGTGCTTTGATAATGTTGGACACTATTGTGCAGACAGCCTCCTTCCTGGCCCACACTGCATAATGGGCCTCCGAGTGCTAAGGAGATAAACGATCCTATCCTTGCGGAGTCAGAGGTAGAGCTCTCCAGAAGCTGCATTCATAATTTCCTCGAACTTAAGGGCTTCGATTTTTTAATAGTAATTGAAACATATAATTCAATAGAAGTGTCACTCTAATGTAATAATTGCCAAGGAAATTGAGCCACAAAGAAGTATCATAAATTGCAATTTACCTTTATTAGAGTACTTGGAGCTGGTAATGTTTTCTCATCAAGAAAGCCACCCCCACCCCCCACCCCCAGATATCTTCCTCTTCCATCTTTTGAATGTTCATGCTCATTCATGCTGCCCTCTTCAGCAATACCTTCACTTCTTAGATTTCCGATCGCTGGATTTGGCCCCTCTTAAAATGCTTATCATTTTAAGTGTTTATATTAATTGCTCTGGTGAAAGCTTTATAATATAAACTTCAGCGAAACTTTATTGTCAAATGTCAGCTTCCTCACATTCTACCCAGAAGGTTTTCTTTCCTTTTGTGGGTATGAGTGATATAATGGTGCTTTGTGTATTTAAAGGACCGTGTGAGTATCAGTGATGTTATTGTGATTCTGCACATTTTTTTTTAAAAAAATGAAACTGTCTCCGGTTGTATCCTAACACCACTGAACTGAATCCGGGACTTAGCACAAAACAAGAAGCCCCTCACCCTCCTCAGGGGGCGTTGCTTGGAACCATCTGAATGATTATGACCATTATTCTTCCTGATTGTTGGTAGGCAGTGAGACGCTTCATCTCCTTGGTGCTGTGGAAATGCAACGTGCTCACTTCCTATCCCATCCCCTCTAGTCACCGAGCCGGCATGTCACCCTCTTGTTTCTGCGGCATTCTGGCCCATTGTTATCCCACCCCCTCCCCTTCTTCCACTCACTTACCCCGATTTACTTCTAGGACGCATCTGGCCCGAGACTGACCCAAGACAGGAGGCTGTTTGGAACTGGATTCCTGCTCTCCTGGAAAAGAGAGCCGGTGTCAAAACCCAGTCAGGGCTCACTGTTCCCAAGACTCTTAGGAACCTACAGCAAGCTTTGGGCTTGATTGCAGGAGAAAAGCATAGAGGGGAGAAAAAGCAAAGAGACGAAGGGACAAAGAAAGAACGGGGTGGGGGGGGCGATGAATAAAAGAAAGGAAGGGAAGAGAAGCGCGAGAGAGGAAAACTGGCTAACCTCACAAGTCCTGAAGAAAGTCGATGGCACAGAGTCGACTGGGGAGGAGAGGGGCCATGAGATACAGAGCATGTGCCCATTACGACTCTAACTATTAAAATCTATACTTTTGAAAATAGAGAATTGGAATAGAATTTACTAAAATGGAGCCAAATATGTATACATATATTTGTGGAGATGGCAATGTGTGTGTGTGTGTATATATATATATGGTCAGGATGATAAGTGTTATTTTTCCATTTTATGGACTTTCTATTATGCACCATCTTTATAATGGAAAAGTGGATGTGATGTGGTGTTAGGGAGCAGAGTATAGATGCATGTCCACAGCTGCCTTTCCAGACCCTCCACCCCCAGGCCCCCACCTGTGTTGTGTTGAAGTTCAGGGGCCTGGAGCAGGGGAGGGAAGTCTGAAGCATTACCCACAGGTGAGTATCTCCTCTCTGAGCCTTCGCTCAGAGCCCCCCAGGCTTGAAGGATGAGCTGAATAAAAGTGGAACTCAGTGCTTTATGTAGGGATGTGCTGATCCCAAAGACCTGTTTAGAATCCTTTTTTAATATTTATTTTTGAGAGAGAAACAGAGACAGAGGGACAGAGAAAGCTCGAGTGGGGAAGAGGCAGAGAGGGGGAGCCAGAGGATCCGTGTTGATCCCACGTAGAGCTCCAAACCCACAAATTGTGAGACCATGACCTGAGCCAAAGTCGGTCGCTCAACCAACTGAGCCATCCAGGCGCCCCTGGAATTCTGTTCAAGTCAAGACAATTAAATGACTCTTTCTAGATGTTTGAATTCAACTTTTCTTTAATTGAAATTTTTTCTTGTTATTATCTCCTTTTTTGTCTTTCTTTCTTTCTCTCTCTTTTTTCTCTCATATACAGCCATCCCCCATGGTAGCACCTATACCAGAACTGGGACCATGGGAGGCGAGTCTGGCCCTGCATAAGGGTGGCATGAAAAGTCACAAGCATCTTGTTATCAATAAATACAGAAGCCTCGTGTTCTGAAGTCACCCACACTTGGCTTGTCATCTTCACTTGGCAATTTAGTTAATCGTGCTGGGCTTCAGTTGCGTCCGTGGCTGGATGAGGGTCATTTATGCTGCCTCACTGGGCTGCTGTTAGATGGTCTAGAGAGCGCAGCATGTATAACATACTTGAAACACCTAAGTGGTCAGCAGGTGTGGTTCTCACTTCCTCCAGACCTAAGGATTCCTGTTCATTCCTATGCACTTCACTGGACCTCTTCTACTTCAAAAGAACTTAGAATAACCCTCTGGGATGACCTTAGTCATTATCAAGCACATTTAGATATGCTACTGATTCAATCATGACCCCTAAAATGTTCCGACCAGAGAGAACAACAGTGTCTTGTAAAACACACCTGCTTGACAAGTTCCAGTATCTCCAGAGTGTGGCTGGGTGCTCTGGAGAAATGCTCACTGGACGAGGAGCAAGGAGTTCCAGGCTTAGGTCCAGATGGCCACCAACGGGGGAATGACTTTGGGCAAGACAGGGCTTCTCAGACCCTCAGTTTCCTCATCCATAAAATGAGGTCAAAACCAGGAATTTTAAAACACGCTTTAGCAGTACCTTTCTGTCAAGTTGAATCTTCGCCAAAGCAGAGATGTTCCGATTGTGGCGGCGGGGGGGGGGGGGGGGGGGGGGGGGGGCAGCACCTGGTGTTCCCCCACTCTCTCCCCCCACCAGGTTGGTGACTCTCACTCCCTGGCGGTTGACCTTGAGGCCCATGTTCAAGGAAACAGAGCAGAGCTGCAGACCACAGATATCCACACTCTCTTGAACCACTTAGCGATCTGCCCCATCCACAACTTCACATATTTCCATGCTATTTTATCAACACCTAGTTCACAAGACATGACAAATATTGCCAACATATACCAAAGAGTATTGTCACACTGCCTTGTTCACGTTGCATTTCTGGACATGGAAAGAATATTCAGCTTGTGATTTTGCTTTCTTGAGCGGCTGCGCTTTCTTTTTCTGCCTCTTTCTCATCTGTTTCCCACCCCCCTTTATCGTTTTACTTTTTTTCCTTCCTGCCTTTTTCCAGAAGGAATTCTCCATCTTGCTGATACTCGGCTGAATTCCTCAGCCACCTCCTTCCCTGGGATCCCCTCGTGCACTTGAGACTGCAGGGAGGGGGCAGGAGAGTTAGTTGCTGGATGCCTGTTGTTTGGGAACACTTTTCTCTTTCAGATTTCCCTTCCACGCCATTCCCGTCTTCCTCCAGGCATCCCTTGCACTGGCCCAAGGACCACCGGCAATGGCAATTTCCCTACAGGCTTTTTAAAAACCCAGATTCTCGGGTCTCGTCCTCTGTCTCCACGGTATGGCTTTATCTTTTTTTTTTTTTTTTTTAATTTTATGTCTTTATTTTGAGACAGAAACAGAGAGCGAGTGGGAGAGGGGCAGAGAGAGAGGGAGACGCAGAATCTGAAGCAGGCTCCAGGCTCTGAGCTGTCAGCACAGAGCCTGACGTGGGGCTCGAACCCACGGACTCTGAGATCATGACCTGAGCCGAAGTCGGACGCTTAACCGACTGAGCCACCCAGGCGCCCCTCCACGGTATGGCTTTAGGCAAGTAGAGGATAAAATGAGTTCCCAAAGTGATTTTTCACGTCTTTAAAATTTGAACACAAACGACCTTTCAAATCGCTCTCCCTGTGTTCCCCCATCCCTCCATCGTTCGCTCCCCAGCTCCTTTCCCTTCAGTGCTCATCCTAATTACCAGCTAACTGGTGGATGTCACTGCTGCTTAAACGCGCTCCCACTCTGGATCCCTAATCATGCCCATTGTGCTCCTCAAAGCTAAGTCAAGAATTGCTGCTTTTGATTCCCCTCCCTCTGTATATTGTGGAAGAAAGCAGGTCCCTGGGGCTTTTGTCATTTCTGCTTCTGGGCTGAGCTCCATTTGCTGGTGAACAGGGCTTATCTTCACTCCCCCTCTAAACACTGTAACATTCAGCATCCTTTCATGTCTGTGCTTTTAAAGTAAATCTTTGGACAATTAAAGATACGAAATGGCTAAATACAGTTTCTGCAGGCGTTGTTCTCTCCTTTTTAAAGGTTTAATCACACTTAATGGCTCTCTTCAAAACTTGAATTTTCCATTTTGGTGTTTTGACTCCATTGAAAGAGTTTACTAATATTCTTTCAAAAGTATTCTCTGCTCAAATGAGCTATTCAATAAAGTTTTATGCCATGCTATAGGATTTACGCTAAATGGAAAATAATTTAAAGGGAAATCAGAGTTGGGGGGGTGCTATTCGTCTCTATGGGGTTTGTAAGTTAAACCGTAATCATCAATAGAGAGTCCATTAAAAGTTGATGTGAAGGAGCAAGAATTCTCATTTAGGGAGAAGGGAGACTGGTTCAAGTGCAATCTCAATACCCCTTTTCCATAAAGGAATCAGCCTTGTGATTTTACAAATAGGAACTTGTGATCAATTCTTCCTCTCCCCTCCTCTCCCTTCTCCTTCTTCTCTCTCTCTCTTTCTTTCTTTTTTTTTCCCCCCCTCGAGGAGTGAACAAAGGATTAGGGGAGAGTAAATGGAATCCATTTTATGAACAATCTTCTATTGTTTTCAACAAATTGTCTTGACTCTTCCCAGTATTGGCCTTGCCAGGTAGTAGCTTGCTCTTACTTGTCACCATCAGGGGGAGGAAGCCGACTGGACACTGAGTCCCCCTTGGGTCATACTCACAGTGTAAAGGATAGAGTTGGCCACTTCCAAGGGAAATTTAGTGGAAAATAAAAGCCAGTTCTTCCTGACAGCGTCTTTATTAACCCCAAGGCTCCCTGGTGGGCTAGGTGATATGCATATGCATACGATATTAACGAGGTACATTGGCTCAGAGAAAGAAAATGAATGCCATGGGTCTGGGATCCCTAGGGACGCCTCCCTGATCCCTTCTTCCTTGCCTGCTTTCTGCTTTCCTTCATTCTTCCCTCCTGAAGGTTACCATCCAGCACTTGCAAAATGGCCAGTCCCGTGCTGAGCACTAAGACAAGTTTGAGAAAATTAGAACCATACCTTAAGATGCTTAATGTCCGACTAAAGACACAGGAAGTAACGCAGGTAATGGAAAAGAAACAGAAGTCATGATCTATGGCCCAGGCATTGTCATTCGCTAACTAATAATCTCTGAGAAGAATTTTAACTTCTCTGAGATTCTGTGATTCTCTTTCATGAAGAGGGTTCTGAGGTCAAGTAACATTTATGGCTACCTGAAAGGATCTCATCATTAATTTGTTGTCTTCTGTCTCCCCTCCTCCCCAGTGTAAGCTCCGTGAAAACAGGGGCCTGTACTGATAATTCCTTTCTGTATTCCAGTGCCTGTAACAGAGCCTAGCACAGAGCAGATGCTCGATACCCACACACCTCGGAGACTTGGCCGGGTTCAGTTCCAGGCCAGTACGATACAGCAAACACCACAATACAGTGAGCCCAATGAATGTTTTGGTTTCCTGGTGCATGTAAAAGTTATGTTTATACTATCTTGTAGTTTATTAAATATATAATGGTGTTATGTCTCTAAAATGGATATACCTTCCTTTAAATTATTTTAATGTTTATTTATTTTGAGAGAGAGACAGTGTGACTGGAGGAGGGACAGAGTGAGAGAGACACACACACAGAATCCAAAGCAGGCTCCAGGCTCTGAGCTGTCAGTATAGAGCCTGATGTGAGACTCGAACTCATGAACCAGGAGATCGTGACCTGAGCCGAAGTCAGATGCTCAGCTGACTGAGCCACCCAGGTGCCCCTATACCTTCATTTTAAAACCCTGCATTGCTAAAAACTGCTAACCATCATCTGAACTTGAAGTCAACTGTAAGCATTTTGCTGGTAGAGGCCTTGCCTCCATGTCAGCGGCTGCTGAC